TCTCCCTTGATAGACTGTCAGCTTCATGTGGGCAGGAACATTATTTGGTTCATCACCAACCTTTTGTGCCTGGCTGTGGTGCACAGTGCCTGTTCAGTAAATATTTGATGAAAGAAAGAATGAATTTGTTGAAATTCTTCAGGGAAAGAATACTACCCTGAAATTTTTAGTTCTTCTGACAGAAACCTATAGAGATTTCCAACTTTGCCCCATAGTAGATGAATTCTACTGTTCACATCTGCATAGGATTTAGTTAGTATGTATTTAAAATGATCATTCACTCAGAATTTGGTCCTCATCTCTGCAAATGTTTTGTATTCTAAGAATGACTTTGTGACTAATAGATGTTATTTTTTTTTCCAGTTCCTAGTTGAGGGGGGCCAGTGTTGTGGTGCTGCAGATTAAGTCACAACTTGTGATTTTCTGGCATCCCATATGAGCATGGGTTCAATTCCTGGCTCCTCCACTTCCAATCTAGCTCCCTGCTAATGTGCATGGGAAAGCAGCAGAAAGTGGTCCAAATATTTGGACCTCCACTACAAATGTGACAGAGTTCCAGGGTCCAGACTTCAGCTTGACCCAGTCCAAGCCACTGTGGCCAGTTGAGGAGTGAACCAGAGGTTGGAAGAGACATCTCTCTCTAGCTCTCCCTCCACCTCTCTCTCTTCTCTTTGTCTCTCCTTCACTCCCTGTAACTCTGCCTTTTAAGTGAATGAAATATTTTTTTAAAAAGTTCCTTCTTGAGTAAAGTATATTTAAAAAGTCAAAGAATTACAATTGGAAAAATTTCTAGGAAAGTACCTTCATATACATCTACCCACAGTGACTATGATGAAATGATTTGAAGGGATACTGGAAAGACAAATAAAAGACTTTAGAATAAAATATAAATGGAAGAAACATATCTGTCATGAATGAATGTGTCTATCTTTTTTGTTTCTTTCATTTGAAAGGCAGCGTTATGGAGGTAGGGGGAGACTTTAAGAAAGGTTTTCCATCTGCTGTTGCACTCCCCAAATGGCTGTAACAGCCAGGACTGGGCCAGGCTGAAACCAGTTGCCTGTAGTTTCTTCTGGGTTTCCTATGTATATGCAGGGGCCCAAGCACTTGGGCTTTCAACCGCTGCTTTCCCAGGTGCATTAGTGGGGAACTGGATCAGACATGGAGCATCCAGGTCTCAAACCAGCACCTATATGGGATGCTGACACTGTAGGCAGTAGCTTAACCCTCTAAACCACAATGCCGGCTCCTGTGCAAATTTTTTCTAACTTGTTTATTCAGTGGCTGCTTCTCTCAAATGGGAGATGTCTTGAGTGTTTTAAATCCTAGTGATGACCAAGAATCTTCTTTTTCTTCCCAACCCCACCCTCATCCTCTAAAACAACATTCTCTCTCTCACTTCCAAGTTTTCCTTCTTACTCTTTACTCTTCCTAATATCCATACGTTAAGCTCTACCTTACTTCTATTCATAAAAGCTGAGATATCCTTTGGGTCTCAGCTTGGACATAATTTCCTGCATCAAAAGCTTGACCCATCCTGAAGCCCTTCTGATTGGGTGAGGCTGTGCTTTGATTTAGCAATGAACAACAACATAAATCACTTCCAAGCTATGGCATTTCACTGGTAGTTCAAGATCCTCTTAGCTATATTCTCTCTATCATTGCTGGTTACTACATTTGCCTGAGTCACCTAGCAGTCTGCAGTGAGCCTGTAGCATGAGTGAGAAACAAATCTTTGTTGTTTAAAGCTACTGATATTTGGGGATTGTTTGTTACCATAGCATAATCTATAATACCCTGACCAATTCACGAGGCTATGTGCTCATCTTGTCCTTCTATAGAATTGTGTTTCACACTCTTTATGTTTATTGCCTCTTTACTAATGCATGATTCTATCATAATTTCCATGATACCCTTAGTACTTGGAACAAAATGTGCTCTATAAGTATTTGTTGAGTTGACGTTTATATGTTTACCTAAATATCTCTGAGGGTTTTAGCTTTTGAAAACATGGCAATGCTTTGAAATTCACAGATAATGCAAAAACTCACTCTGAAATGTGATTTGAACTTTTTCTTCACTCATTCTCTTAACCAAAGTCAAATCAACTAGAATCAGAATCTCCTTTCTTCTCCTTGCCACTTCTGACATTGGAAGAAACAGGGAGTCCCCATACTGAAGAAAAAAAACCTAGAGAATAAGATTGAAATTCACTGTTTATTTTTTTAAAAGATTTATTTATTTATTTGAAAGCCAGAGTTACATAGAGATAGAAGGAGAGGCAGAGGCAGAGAGAGAGAGAGAAGGAGAGGGAGAGAGGGAGAGAAGGAGAGAGGGAGAGAGGGAGAGAGAGGTAGAGAGGGAGAGAGAGTCTTCTATCCACTGCTTCACTTCCCAATTGGCTGCAATGGCCGGAGCTGTGCTGATCTGAAGCCAGGAGCCATGAGCTTCTTCCAGGTCTCCCATATGGGTGCAGGGGCCCAAGGACTTGGACCATCTTCCATTGCTATCACAGACCATAGCAGAGAACTAGATTGGAAGTGGAACAGCTGGGACTCAAACCCGGCACCCTTATGGGATGCTGGCACTGCAGGTGGCAGCTTTACCTGCTATGCCACAGCGCCGGTCCTCTTTCATTTTTCTCCCTTCCTTCCTTCCTTCCTTCCTTCCTTCCTTCCTTCCTTCCCTCTTGCCTGCCTGCCTGCCTGCTTATATCAACACATTTTTATTCCAAATACACTGTGATAGACACTTTGCATACAGAGGGGAAAGAATTTAAATTTAATAAGGGAGATAAATAGCATCAGAACAGTTTGGATAGAGCAATTAAGCAGAAGCTACAAAAAGTGAAATCACATAGAAAGGGCCCCAAACCAGTCTAGTGAGTGCTGGGTTTCTGGGAATCTTGTCTGTTGTTGAAAACTTCTACACTAATCCTCACTCCTTCACAATGCCTTTGATCTGTTAACAAGTCACACTCATTTTCTTCATCTTCATATTTCCTCTGCCTATTATCTTCTTCTTGCACATCCCTCTTTCTTGTCTTATCATAAGCCATCTAAACTTTACTCATTTGATTATTCATTAATTACTCCTAAAACTAGAGTATAATATTGTGATGGTAGAAACATGCCAATTTGGGTTGCTATCACATCCATGATCCTGGAATATGACCTGAGGCAGGAAAAGCCCTCTATAAACAGCTACTGAATGATTGGCTGAATGACTGAAAACAGATCAAACTAGACTAAAAAGAAGAGTCTGTCTGTCCTTGAGGAATGTGATCAAAGCCAAGTAAAGCAAAGAAGCGCAGGCAGTAGCTCAGGCTTGGGGAGGAAATTCTCAGATTCTGGAAGAACCAATAGTAGGGATGAGGAATACAGGCAAAGAGAAGAGGGATCAAATACTAAGGCAGAATCTGGGTAATATGTAATCATGACCTGGCTGAGGAGTTGAATTCCTAGGACCAGGTCCCCAGCAATAAGAAAGAACTGTCTGGAAACAAAAGCCATCTTCCTAGGACCTGAGATACTGTAAAGTACATGAGTAGCAGCTGGTAAGACATCTGTGGTAGAATGCCCAATTAGCCCGGAGCAAAGAACTTCTGAGCCTGCAACCATGTTTACTCTCAAGAGCATTAAGTTCTCAGTGAAAGACACCAACAAACTCACCTTGGCCAATGTGACTGGCTTTTTATTCTACTTAATTAGAAAAAGAGGGAAACACTGTGAGATTATATATATGTGTATATATATATATATGCACACACACACACATATATATATAAATATATATATGGATTTTACAAGCACATAGATCTTATTTTTAATCCTTGCTCCACTACTTCCTACCTAGATAACTAAGGAAAGTTTACTACAACACTCTAAGCCTTAGTTTGTTCATTTGTAACATGGTGCTCCTAATTCTTCTCTCAGTTTTTCTAAGGATACAATAGACAAACATATAACCCATTTAACACAGTGTCTCACCCCTGGTGAGCATTCACCCAATGGTATCTACAAAAAGTATTTTTGGATGTGTTAAGCCCTATTACTTTAATCAGTAGAATACTGAAGTGATACTGTGGTAGCTTTGGGCCTAAACTTTAGGCACTGGGGGCTTCTACATTTGGGAGTCCCATATCACCCTATAGGAAGTCCAGCTACCCCCACCGAATGGATCACATAAAGACTCCATATTGAAAAGAGGTTCTGAAACGGTATGGAGAGACAGCCTTATCTGCCTCAGACTCCAGGTGAGCTCAGTTTCTAGCTGTTCCTGCCAGACATAGAAGTGACCTATAGATTTTCCAGACAATGTCAGTCCCATCCACCGTTTGATTTCAGCTGCATGAGGATTACAAGCAAGGCAGCAGATGAATTGTTTTGCTGAGCCTAGTGGACACATAGACCTATGGAAGATAGCAGAAAGCTGGGTGACCTGTTTTGTTTCCTTGAAATATTAAGCAAAAGACTGAGGGACCTATGAGTTAGTTATCAGGAACTGGGTTTTCTCATGACTCATTTCCTGATCTAGGGCTAAGGAAGGGTGCTACATGAAGGTTTGGTTCAACGTTAGATCCATGCTTGCCAATTGTATTAGTAGGCCTGATTAACCAGCTAAAGCCCCTGTCTGGGCTCCAAACTCAGACCTGGAACCATTGCAGCCAGTTGACCCTTCAAGGTCAATAGGGGAGACTCAACAAAATGGGTCTCAGCTGGAGCTTGCAGCACCTGTTCCCAGTCTGAAAAGTAATCCTGTGATCCTATCCAGGGTGGGATGTGAGAAACAGAAGAGAGGTTATTGGGGTCACAGCTTGCTCCTGTCTAGCAACTGGACAGTAAACCTGATACTGAAAGACCACAATGAGGGGCGGAGCCAAGATGACAGAATAGTGAGGGCACGCACCAATAGTCCGGGAAAAGATAGTTTAATAAAAGTGGAGTTACTGTAACCTCAGGAAAAGGCTCAGGAAAAAATCACAGAAGAAACTCTTCCAGATCTAGTGGATGTGACATCGAGGACCTACGGGGAGAGCAAGGTCACCCACCGCGTGGAAGCCAAGCCACGGGAGCCGAGCTGCTGCAGAAGCCGAGCCGCAGAGTCTGCACATCAGCGCTGGAAGGGGAGGTGAGACAAAAACCCCAGTAACCCAAGACATTGGCGGGGAAAGGCAGAAAGAGCCTACAGGGAACGAGGCCTGAAGCCCCACTGGGGAAAGTTCACCAGGCTGACTGGAGGAGAGAAAAAAAATGAATAAATAAGGGGAACCGGCATGGACATTAGCCTCTCTCTCCACTCACCTTACAAAGCCAAGCAAGACAAAGAGCAGGTGCCATTTTACGTATGTAAAGTAGCGCCCGCCATTAGCCAAGCAGAAAAACCTGACTCTGGTGGGGAGAAATAACAGGAGGTTAACACCTAGTGAAAGTGTGGAGCTAAAGAACTGAGACTGTGAAAATCTGAGGGGGAGCCAAGAGAACTCACCGAGTACACAAACTTGGTAACCTGGGCAACCTGGTGAGAGACTGCAGAAAAATTTGAGACCACACTGAAGGCTGCATAAACTCTTTGTGTGGTCCCAGGGGTAAGCAGACGAATACCCACAGGGGCCAGATTTCATACATCAACTACCCTCAATTCCACTCAGCTGTGTGGAATTACTTCCCAACTGAGTCAAAAAAAAAAAAAAAAAAGAGAGAGAGAGAGAGAGAGAGCGAGAGAACAATCTGGGTGAATCACCTTTGGCACACCCTTAACCCTGAAGAACCAAACAGAGCTCTCTGGCCACACCCATCACAGCCTCTAAGGATCCATCAAAAGCAGACAGTCCACTTAATCTAGAGTCACAGTATAACGAGAAAAAACACCACACCAAAGAAACCAAAGAATATCTCCAATATGCCAAACAACAAATGCAGAAACTGAGGTAACAAGAACAAGGAAGACACTATGACGCCCCCAAATGAAATAGACACCCCAATTCAAGATTATGAAGATGATGAGATAGAAGTAATGCAAGAAGTGGATCTCAAAAAATTGATAAGAACATTAAGAAGTTCTCAAAAACAAATTCTTGAACCACAGAAATCCTTAATGGACAAGATAGAAAATCTCTCTCGTGAAAATGAAATATTAAGGAGGAATCAAAATGAAATGAAACAACTAGTAGAACATGAAACTGTGATAGTGACAAGAAATCATAATGAAATTAAGAACTCAATAGATCAAATGACAAACATATTAGAGAGCCTTAAAAACAGAATGGGTGAAGCAGAAGAGAGAATATCGGACTTAGAAGACAGAGAACAGGAAAATATACAGTCAAACCAAAGAAAAGAAGAGGAAATTAGAAATCTAAAAAATATTGTCGGGAATCTTCAGGATACTATTAAAAAACCCAACATTCGGGTTCTAGGAGTTCCTGAAGGCATGGAGAGGGAGAAAGGATTAGAATGCCTTTTAGTGAGATACTAGCAGAAAATTTCCCAGGTTTGGAGAAGGACAGAGACATCCTAGTACAGGAAGCTCATAGAACCCCTAATAAACATGTCCAATAGAGATCCTCACCATGACACGTTGTAATTAAACTCACCACAGTGAAACAAAGAAAAATCCTAAAATGTGCAAGAGAGAAACGTCAGATTACTCTCAGAGGATCTCCAATCAGACTTACAGCTGACTTCTCATCAGAAACCCTACAAGCTAGGAGGGAATGGGGAGATATAGCCCAGGTACTAAGAGAGAAAAACTGCCAGCCCAGAATATTATATCCTGCAAAGCTCTCATTTGTGAATAAAGTGAAATAAATACCTTTCACAGCAAACAGAAATTGAAAGCATTTGTCGCCACTCGTCCAGCCCTGCAAAAGAAGCTTAAAGATGTGTTACACACAGAAACACAGAAACACGGTCATCAATATGAAAGAAGGTAAACAAAGGAAACCTCACAGCAAAAGATCACAGGAAGTTCAAAACATATATTAGAAAATATCTTCGGCAAATGGCATGGCAAAGTTACTCCTTACCAATAGTCACATTGAATGTTAATGGCCTGAACTGTCCAGTTAAAAGACACTGATTGGCTGACTGGGTTAAGGAACAAAACCCATCTATTTGCTGCTTACGAGAAACACATCTTTCCAACAAAGATGCATACAGACTGAAAATGAAAGGCTGGAAAAAGATATACCATGCCAACAGAAATGAGAAAAGAGTGGGCATAGCCATCTTAATATCGGACAACATAAACTTTATCACAAAAACTGTTAGGAGAGACAAAGAGGGGCACTATATAATGATTAAGGGATCAATTCAACAGGAAGATATAACAATTATCAATGTATATGCACCTAATTACAGGGCACTGGTTTATTTAAAAGATTTGTTAAGGGACTTAAAGTGAGACTTAGACCCCAATACAATAGTACTTGGGGACTTCAATACTCCACTCTCAGAAACAGACAGATCTACAGGACAGAAGATCAACAAGGAGACAGTAGATTTAAATGACACTATAGCCCAAATGGATCTAACAGATATCTACAGAACTTTTCATCCTACACATAAAGAATTTACATTCTTCTCAGCAGTACATGGAACCTTCTCTAGGGTTGACCACATACTAGGCCATAAAGCAAGTCTCAGCAAATTCAAAAGAATTAGAATCATACCCTGCAGCTTCTCAGACCATAAAGGAATGAAGTTGGAAATTAGCAATTCAGGAATCCCTAGAGCATATGCAAACACATGGAGATTGAACAACATGCTCCTAAATGAACAATGGGTCATAGAAGAAATTGAAAGAGAAATCAAAAATTTTCTGGAAGTAAATGAGGATAACAGCACAACATACCAAAACTTATGGGATACAGCAAAAGCAGTGTTAAGAGGAAAGTTTGGCTGGCGCTGAGGCTCACTAGGCTAATCCTCCACCTGTGGCACTGGCACACCGGGCTCTAGTCCCAGTGGGGGCGCCGGATTCTGTCCCAGTTGCCCCTCTTCCAGGCCAGCTCTCTGCTGTGGCCAGGGAGTGCAGTGGAGGATGGCCCAAGTACTTGGGCCCTGCACCTCATGGGAGACCAGGATAAGTACCTGGCTCCTGCCATCGGATCAGCGTTGTGCGCCCTCGCAGCGCGCTGGCTGCAGCAGCCACTGGAGGGTGAACCAATGGTGAAAGAAGGCCTTTCTCTTTGTCTCTCTCTCTCACTGGCTACTCTGCCTGTCAAAAATTCAAAAAAAGAGAAAGTTTATATCAATAGGTGCCTACATCAAGAAATTGGAAAGGCACCAAATAGATGAGCTTTCAATGCATCTCAAGGATCTATAAAATCTGCAGCAAACCAGACCCAAATCTAGTAGGAGAAGAGAAATAATTAAAATCAGAGAAGAAATCAACAGGATTGAATCCAAAAAAATTACAAAAAATCAGCCAAACGAGGAGCTGGTTGATTGAAAAAATAAACAAGATTGACACCTCATTGGACCAACTAACTAAAAAAAAGAAGAGAAAAGACCCAAATCAATAAAATCAGAAATGAAAAAGGAAACGTAACAACAGACACCACAGAAATAAAAAGAATCATCAGAAATTAATACAAGGACTGATATGCCAGCAAACAGGGAAACCTATCAGAAATGGATAGATTCCTGGACACATGCAACCTACCTAAATTGAACCAGGAAAACATAGAAAACCTAAACAGACCCATAACTGAGATATAAATTGAAAGAGTAATAAAGGCCCTCCCAACAAAGAAAAGCCCAGGACCTGATGGATTCACAGCTGAATTCTACCAGACATTTAAAGAAGAACTAACTCCAATTCTTCTCAAACTATTCAGAACAATCGAAAAAGAGGGAATCCTCCCAAATTCTTTTTATGAAGCCAGCATCCCCTTAATTCCTAAGCCAGAAAAAGATGCAGCATTGAAAGAGAATTACAGACAGATATCCCTGATGAACATAGATGCAAAAATCCTCAATAAAATTCTGGCCAATAGAATGCAACAACACATCAGAAAGATCATCCACCCAGACCAAGTGGGATTTATTCCCTGGTATGCAGGGATGGTTCAATGTGTGAAAATCAATCAATGTGATACACCACATTAACAGACTGCAGAGGAAAAAACATATGGTTATCTCAATACATGCAGAGAAAACATTCGATAAAATACAACACCCTTTCATGATGAAAACTCTAAGCAAACTGGGTATGGAAGGAACATTCCTCAATACAATCAAAGCAATTTATAAAAAACCCATGGCCAACATCCTATTGAATGGGGAAAAGTTGGAAGCATTTCCACTGAGATCTGAGACCAGACAGGGATGCCCACTCTCACCACTGCTATTCAATATAGTTCTGGAAGTTTTAGCCAGAGCTATTAGGTAAGAAAAAGAAATTAAAGGGATACAAACTGGGAAGGAAGAACTCAAACTATCCCTCTTTGCAGATGATATGATTCTTTATTTAGGGGACCCAAAGAACTCTACTAAGAGACTATTGGAACTCAGAGAAGATTTTGGCAAAGTAGCAGGATATAAAATCAATGCACAAAAATCAACAGCCTTTGTATACACAGACAATGCCATGGCTGAGGAAGAACTTCTAAGATCAATCCCATTCACAATAGCTACAAAAACAATCAAATACCCTGGAATAAACTTAACCAAGGACTTTAAAGATCTCTACGATGAAAATTACAAAACCTTAAAGAAAGAAATAGAAGAGGATACCAAGAAATGGAAAAATCTTCCATGCTCATGGATTGAAAGAATCAATATCATCAAAATGTCCATTCTCCCAAAAGCAATTTATACATTTAATGCAATACCAATCAAGATACTGAAGACCTTCTTCTCAGATCTGGAAAAAATGATGCTGAAATTCATATGGAGACACAGGAGACCTTGAATAGCTAAAGGAATCCTGTACAACAAAAACGAAGCTGGAGGCATCACAATACCAGATTTCAGGACATCCTACAGGGCACTTGTAATCAAAACAGCATGGTACTAGTACAGAAACAGATGGATAAACCAATGGAAGAGAATAGAAACACCAGAAATCAATCCAAACGTCTACAGCCAATTTATATTTGATCAAGGATCCAAAACCAATCCCTGGAGTAAGGACAGTCTATTCAATAAATGGTGCTGGGAAAATTGGATTTCCATGTGCAGAATCATAAAGCAAGACCCCTACCTTTCACCTTACACAAAAATTCACTCAACATGGATTAAAGACTTAAATCTATGACCCGACACCATCAAATTATTAGAGAGCATTGGAAAAACCCTGCAAGATATAGGTACTGGCAAAGACTTCTGGAAAAGACCCCAGAGTCACAGGCCTTCAAAGCCAAAATTAACAAATGGGATTACATCAAATTGAGAAGTTTCTGTACTGCAAAGGAAACAGGAAAGTGAAGAGGCAACTGACAGAATGGAAAAAAAATATTTGCAAACTATACAACAGATAAAGGATTGATAACCAGAATCTACAAAGAAATCAAGAGACTCCACAACATCAAAACAAACTACCCACTTAAGAGATGGGCCAAGGACCTCAATAGAATTTTACTTTTTATTTATTTATTTATTTATTTATTTATTTTGATAGGCAGAGTGGACTGTGAGAGAGAGAGAGAAACAGAGACAAAAGTCTTCCTTTACCATTGGTTCACCTTCCAATGGCTGCTGTATCCGGCGCACTGCGGCTGGCGCACCGCACTGATCCGATGGCATGAGCCAGGTTCTTATCCTGGTCAATAGACATTTTTCAAAAGAGGAAATCCAAATGGCCAACAGACACATGAAAAAATGTTCATGATCACTAGCAATCAGGGAAATGCAAATCAAAACCACAATGAGGTTTCACCTCACCCCAGTTAGAATGGCTCACATTCAGAAATCTACCAACAATAGATGCTGGTGAGCATACGGGGAAAAAGGGACACTAACACACTGTTGCTGGGAATGCAAATTGGTTAAGCCACTATGGAAGTCAGTCTGGAGAT